TGCATCTCCAAACTAAGGATAATGCACCTGAGAATAACAGTGCATCTATAGAATTTGAAACAGTTAAATATTTTTACTAAGACAGATATTAATATTTGTAAAAAATACAGAATTCAAACCATGGGATACTGCACTTTAGAATAGAAAACACTCTAAATCTAGTGCATACACAGACTCACCATGAGTTTCAGTCATTAAAATCTTGGCTTGCAAGATCAAGCCACTGGCAAAGATCTGCAACTTAATTAATTTAAGTTAGCATAACAAAAGGATCAACAAATCTTCACTGTGAACTATCCAGTTAGACTAGAGAAAGGGCAAACTCTTATGAATGACTTTTTACTTCTAGTACTGGTTTAAATGTAAATGACCCAAATAATATTTGAATTTATTTTCACATTATTCTGAGATTATCAAAGAAAACACAATGCTGCAGTAAAGAGAGAATAAAATGGTATGACTTCAGACACAATGAAATTTAGATGAAGCAGAGGTACTTGGTATGACACTAATTTTTCTAACATGGCTCTATCTCTTCAACTCAAAAAAAGCAAAATTCTAAATTCTGTATGGAGGACATAATATAGCAATATTTTGATGTAGGATAGTTTATTACATAAACAGTATGTACAAATTCTAAACATGAAAATAGTGAGTAAAAGAAATCAGACTCTATTTACATTTATTTTTTTTTTACAAAATGTTTTTACAAGTGTATATTTTTTCTCTAAATAACAGGACAAACACATAAGACCAATCTTTTTGCATTACATACATAAATAAATATTGACTTTAAATGACTGTTATAGGAACATAATTTCTACAGCCAATTCGGGTAACAGAGAAGCATTTGTTACCTTTACTACAATATAATTAAGTAAAAAGGAAAAAATTTACATATAGAGCTCTGTTAATTACTTTGCAAATTGTACCTTACTAATATATCAGTAGAGGCAATACAGTCGTTACATTTCATGCCCACAACTGAACAATGAGTTTTGGCATGCAAACCCACATATAATCATCAACATCTGCAGGTATCCATTTACATTTTTTTAAATAAAGGGTTTTCTTAATCATTGAAAACTACATGCAACAGATTATTAGTAGCATATTCCTGGTTAAAATGCACAAGTTTTGCTTAACATTATTTTTAGTAATTGATGTTCACAGGTACTGATCAAAAGGGTAGGAACATACTTGGCACATAGTATAAGAAAATGAATTAATAAATAAGTCAATATCACTATGACATTTACATATACACAAAAATAAACATTTTTATGGTGTTTTACACAGAATTTAGAACTGTCTGGTTCCCCCACTTTGTTTTACAAGGCCCTGATTTAAGACATTATTCAAACAAACTCTGACATCCATGCTTGATTTGAAGCATCACTAAAGCTCGTTCTTAACCGCACAGGTTTACTTCCATCCCACTGACTTCCTTTGTGCCAACCTTCCTGAATCAGGACCTGCTTATTGGAAACCCTCCCTGACTCCAGCTAGGACCATGAAGACGAAAGTATTGTGAAATAAATTGACTCAGTATTAAGGTTTCTATAAAGTTCTGCTAATACCAATTAGCAGAGTTGCCAAATTCCCACTCACATTAGCAATGACTTTGTATGTGACCACACCAAGTATCCGTGTCAATGTCAGCATTGCCATACCAGGTCCTCAGCTCCTTCTGAAGCCACAAAGTTGAGGGTGTTCAGCATTTAAAAAATCAGACTTCTTATTTATTGTCTGTGTGCTATATTCTTAATGAATATTCAAGTTAGTACACGTGGATGATACAGCACAAGTTCTGTCTTATTTTCTCCTGCTCTAGAAACAACTCAAAAATGGTAAAAAAAAAAGATATAACAAGAACAAACCAGTTTCTTCTTATACAAAAATCACCAACGAACAAAAAAATCACTTCACAAAGCAGTTAGCAAAAATAGCATAATCTTATAATTCTCCTTTAAGAAATAAAGATAAACAAAATGCATCCTGAATTCAACTGACTAATCCATCAGAATCGTACACAGTAAATAATACATTAGTGTAAAGGTGCAGAGTATCTTAAAACATCCCAATATCTCTAATATCCTCCCAATATTAACTCTGAATTACACAACACCATTAGAGAAAATAAATCTTTAACTAGGGAATTAAGTAGTAATTGCACCTATATTGCTGAATTAAATGTTTAATGTGGCTTAGTCTAGTAAATTAGGACAATACCCTGTGTGATTCGGCAAAGAAAGCTTTAGAATTAGGCACTAAAAACTTCAAATCTGTACTGCTAATTTTAAAAAAATAATCAGAAAATCATTCACAGCTGGGAATTTAACATCCATGCATGAGCTTTGTTGACTTTGTATTTTTCATATTTGATTTGGAGGGTGACTTGAAAGGTGAGTTGATAAGATCATTTGTAGAAGGAAAAAAATAATTTACATCTTAGCAGACTCAATACAATTCACTTGATCACTACATTTCTACTTTCAACTTTTGGTTTTGATCAATCTAATTCAGAAGGGAAAACGTCTCAGTGCTCTTCAAAAGTACACTGTTACTTTGAACAGAAGAATGCCTCAGAGGGAATGGCATCAGCAAACAGAAACCAACCATTTTGATTCTTCTCAGAAGGATGATTTCGTGAGGACTCAGGGCTCCTAACTTCCTGCTTATCTCCAATGAATTGGCATCATTGCACCAAAGAGCAACATCTATGCTCTACAGTGCCGCTATGAATGAAATGTAATTTCATTAACATTAATCAAGTCGCTGTCAATTTGATCCAGCACGAGTAGAACAGACTGTGATTGAAAGGTTTGGACAGAATTCTTCAGAGAAGACTGAGGTAATTACTTTCTCTGATCCTGCTGATCCAGCAAACACCACAAAGATCACTTCTAGACTCATCTATGCCCTGTGCAATCCAAATGTGAAAGCAGTGCTGCACACCGGTCCAATGCAAATTTTGTTTTCTTTGTAAAACATACACATGAAACACTCTTATCCTGACAAAAAGGTCACAGACTATGGCATTCTGAAAAAACTGAAAATAAACCTTTACACTACAGATTTTTGGAATAAGAGTTCATCTGCTGATTTGTTAATGTATTTTGGAAAATAGAGGAAGGAATTCAAAGCACCATAGCCTTTAATGTATTTTAAGCTATTGTTAAAGGACTTTGCAAACCACGCAGCAATAGAAAAAGTCTGGGAAAATTCTTGGTCACTAAGTGAATATCTAAAAAGACAGCAACCAAAATAGAAAAAGAATGCAAAAGAGCCCTTTAAAACTGAAGGTAAAATTGTAAAAAAAATGTAATGAGCAAGCAATCAGAAATTAATGCAGTTTCCTTCCCCCATGTGGTATAAATGCTGTAAACTTCAGTATAGACAAACTGAATATTTCATGAACATTCTACTATGACAAACACAGCCTGATCCTCAGTTTCAGATAGGTATTTCTTCATATTTGTTTTTTACAAAACAGTTTGTCATCAAGACAAGGGAAATACATGTACCACTAATGTCCAAGCTCCTCTTATTGAATATCTCAGAAAAACATGAAGCACAGATGAGTCTGTATCATCTGCTGGTAGAAAAAGTGGCCACTTTGTCCAGTTGGAGTCAAATTTTGAGGTACATTACCCTGATGTGATGATTCAAGGAGCAATGGAAATGGTGCCAAAGAATCCAGGAGCACTTTGAACATCTTGAACATTAAGAGCTGATTATGGGTATATGTATGGATGTTTATTGGCAGCTACTTTCCACCCTCTCAATAATAAATCCAAGCAGTTTCTGTTTACTATTGAGACATGTGTCTCTGTGTGACAAATTATTCTAGACAGTTTATATTGCACAATAAGGCAATATGAATTCCCTTATGGTTAAAAAGGGCACCCTTCTGTCTAAATTTGAAAAATGAATTCAAATAAACTATAAGCCAATGTTTTCCAGATGCCAGAATATTGTCACATAATTCTTTCTGTAAGCAGAACAGCAAAATAGAGCCAATACATCCATCCTTCTGTTCTAAAGATCCACAGGGAAAAGAAATATGTGCATCAAAATTCAAAGCCAAAAAGTAGCTATACAGCTACTATAATAATAAATGTGCCTCAAAAATTCAATTTGTAAAACTTTGATGTTAACTATTCAGATTTTTCACTAGGAAATTGGTGTTTGTATTCAAGATAATATTATACCTTGAAATATTATGCAGCAAAAGTATTGTAATATTTTAAAAGTTATTCTTCTAGGACCTATCAATTAATTGCATTCATTGCCATACATTTTAAACAATTCTATTAATTGTCATTTGTTTCTCTACAACGGTATTTCTACCCTGTATACCCTTTAACTATTAACTATATTAATAGAAGATCTACATGACAGAACATTATCACTTTAGACCAGATGGGTAATACATATGTATCATCATCCTCCTCCATGATGACAATAGAATTATTAAAAACTGGGTATTTCAGGGTTTCTGCCACTGGTATTTATTTTACTTATGTGCTTATTTCAGACAAATTGAGATGTTCTTTAATAGCAAAACACACTAGACCTTAAATTGGTGACAGGCAGGGCTTTAAGTAAAATAGATAATTTAAATCCATTAATGAGAAAATCTTTCAGAAGTATGTATACATCACAGGACCTTGCAAATAGTAACACTGAATTAAATAAGAGAAAAAGCTGTATACACTGCACCCTTTTAACCTACTTTAAACACAGAATATGAAAACATTATAATGAACAGTATCATTAATATTTCTCACAGGTGTTAAGTTGGATGTGGTCTTCAGTTTGTTGAATAGTGCTGGTACAGAAATGATACTTGCTGTGTGATTCATCCTGGTCATGGTGCAAACATAATTCTTCATGTCTAAACTACAGAGAAGTAGATACAGATCATACAGGATGGTAACTTCCATTGGAAAACTGGGTTCACTGCTCCAACAGATGTGCTGTTACCCAGCCCTCATTTGGGAGCTCAGTTTTTTTCCCCTCAGTTATTTGTATAATCATCTGAAACAGTCTAATATTTCTCTGGGGATGGCTTGTAGTGATGTGGATGATGCTGCTTCAGATGAGGTCCTAAACAAAAGAACAGGAAATTATGCATGTATCAAACCCTGGATATGTAATGCCAACTGAATCCATACTGAAAAGGCTTTGTGAGACCTTCAGCTTTCAATCCTTTAGCTTGTAAGTGCTGAGTCTCTGCTGGCAACTATGTGTATGCTCAGTCCAGACAACTTCAGCAGGCCTTTAAAAGGACAAAAATACTCAAGCAGACAGATTTTGAACTAATTGTATTTTTTACTTGGCTTTGCAACACTGAGCTGTATTATTCAGAAACACATGAAGTGCTGGAAATGGCCATTAAGAGGTTTGCCTTGCTTTAGAAATATGTTTAAGCTCTAGCTATGCTGGACTGAGTGAACCCAGAAAAACCTAACCTTGAAAGCTATGAAATCCTCCAGGCTGCCCCTGGAGAACAGACCAACTCTGAACCCCAAGTGCTATAGGCATAAGCCAAACAGCTGTGGCTGCAACTAAAGGCAAATGTTAGACCACAGAAACTGAGTGAGAGAAAGACTGTATTTGCTGATGGACAGTTATCAGGGGATTTTCACATATCTTAAGTTTATGGAATGCTACTGGAATCAGGAAAAACTTTAAGGCTTGAGAAAGGCTTCCACTCTTTACATGTGGAAGATCAAAATTCTGTAACATGTCAGGAGCACAAGTCAGAAGAGTGCAGCGCTTACTGTGGGGTGCAAATGGAGGAAGGTCGGGCGTTCGGAAGGATTTAATCGTGGCTGGCCCTTCCCCACCAGTCGTCAGCACCTGAACTTCCAAGCGGTACAGCATGGAGGGCCTCAGGTTGGGCACGGTGAGTATGTAATGATCCTAAAAATAAATACATCACTTCAATTCTCAGACCACTGAAGAATAAAACACAGTTGCTCTGCTCACACACATCAGCAGTTTAAACAGTTCTGTCACTGTCAGCAGCCACAGATTATTTTTATAGAATTTTTTTAAAAGGATTTAATGTATGCATCACTTTGTTGAGTGAGTATATTTGAATTTTTTCCCTTTGAACAAACACATTTTTAACCATAATACTATGGTTTCATGTGTACAAGGCCCAAGTTGTTACAGACTTTTATGGAAAGTGTGCTGATCACTTTAGTGATGCGCTCATCAGTAAAAAATGAATCAAAATGTATTTTCTTAACCATTTTTTTTAACAAACATGTTCATTACATATACTTGTTTTTATTTTGGATTTGCATGTGGATTCTACTAATTGGTAATTTAAGTAGTGGCTGGCCTGGGGCCACTTCTGCAGCTCGTGGGAAAAAAAAAGGGTGACCACACTAATTTCAGATTTGTCCCAGTTACACCATAAGAATTTGCCTTCTGCTCTTAAGGCATCATTTACAGCATGATGGACTCACTTTTCACTGCTCCATACCTTTTGTGGTCACTTAGACACGTATTAAACAATTTCAAAGTAATTTTATAGAAACTTCCACATGGGACTACATCTGGCTAAAGATATTAGGGAATACTGACAGATATTAGGGAATCAGAAGTCATTCATCTACATCAAAATCCAAACTATAAATCATCTGCATTAAGTTGGAACCAATCAGTCATCTTATTCCAAGTTGTAAAGGCCCAGTCCTGGGAAGGGGACAGCTGGAGAAGTGATGCTGGACAGTGTGGGCAACAGGGTGTTCCTGCCACCACCAGGCTGGTGTGGCCAGGAATCCACGGGACAGGTGCTTCTGGCTGTCATTATACCTGCCCCATGAGGGGAAGCCCAAGCACATTGTGGGGGTAACTTTGGTTATTCCTGTGGGAAAATTTGCTGCTAGTGCCAGAGCAGATAGCAAAGAGGAAAGGAGAGAGAGAAAAAGTGAGGGGAAACGTTTTCCTGAAAAATTAGCACATATTCTGAGATGGGACTGCCTTTATGAGACCTGGCTGAAGCTGTTTCATCTCACCCAAATCCTGCACAGGTAGGGCAGAGAGAGGAGTGCATACATTGCACTTGTACACTCACTCTGCTCATTCAGGTGCTCCTCCAGCTGGGCCCTAAGCATTTCAGCCCTGGTTGTGTAAATACTACATTTTCAGTCAGAGTGAATGGTCCTTGGTATAAATATCCTAAATTTTGGTGGTTTCTGAGAGACAGAAAATACTGTTTCAACTCAAATCATAACCTTCTGCAAGTTATCCAGGTGCTAAAAATAGAGATACATACAGTGATAGATAATTAAAGGCATCTGCAGACTCCACAGTTTAAAATGTTTGATGTATCATCAAGAATAGTAGCTATGCTTTGTATCTCCATCAAGGAGGAAAAATTAAGTACTTCCTGCTCCAACTTACCTGCAGAACCAGTGTTTGACATCTGAATCACCACTAAACATTACAAATGAGGCACAGACACACAAACTCAGGGAGCCACTGGCAAAAGAAAGTAACAAAGAACTTACTGCTGGCAGTATCTGTGACTGGGAAATGATGCTGTTGGGTAAACTGTTCTGCCGGCTCTCTGTGGTCACTTCTGCCCAAGTGACTTGAAAGCCTGTCATGGGCTGGTGCAGGTCTGCCTTAGATATCTTCCAGGAAAAGTGACCAGTGATGTTACCTTCCTGAACAATGAAAGACGCAGACAGATTCTCGGGTTTGGCCAACACTTTGGGTAGAACTGGCACTATAAATTTGGAAAGCAAAAAAAAAAAAAAAAGATAAGCTAGACTTTTAGAGATAATCTTCAATAATATTCATTTAATTTCAGAAATCAAGGCCCGGCAGAGCTGTATTTCTGGTGTTACACATGGTGCAGGCAGCTTTCCACCACCACATTTTCAGTGTTAACTAAAAACTTATGTTTGATACATTCCCCTGACATTTTGGACCAAACTCAAACTTCAAATAAAACGCTCTCAGCTGCAGGTACAGAAAAGAAAGCTATGGCATGTAAAGGGCACCATTCTCCTGCTCCTCATATTTCAGAATACCTGAAATCAGACTGGAAGTTTTGGGACCATAAGAAAATGCACAGGGTAGCACAGAACTCCGTAATTCAGCCAAAGAGTACAATTCATGCAGTATAACTGCAGTACAAGTTAATAGGGGAACTCTGATTAGGGGAAAGTTATACCTGAGTTACAGTTGCCCAGGAAGGCTATAATGCTGGAAACATGAAGGCCAGCAGGGTTCTGAGTGACTTATGGAGCATGGGGGGCACCCTTGGGAACAGGAGCGACTCAAGGTGAGAGGGCTTCCCTCCGCCAGAGAGAGAAGTATCCACACTCAGCAGTGCAAAGCCATGGCTGACCTGAGCCAGGACCAGCTGACCACAGAGGTCCTCTCCACCTAATATCTGCATAATTCTGCAACTCCCATAACCCTCTAGTTACACATTGTGACAATGCTGGAAAAGATAATAGGGCCTGTATTTCTTATTTGAGAGCAGAATTAACCTAAACAAAATCAAACTGAAAAAGCAGCTTGTGTTTGCAGCAAAATATTAAAAAGATGGGTCATGCCATCATAATCATGTTTACAGTTTTCCTCCATCATTATGATAAATTCAATGGGGAACCATTCTTCCTTACAAAAAAACCCCAACCATGCCATTACAGATATTAGTGTATGCCCACTACAATTACTCTTAATTGACAAACCAGTAATAATGTACTAGCCAAAATCGATACTGTTGTGTATTTCTGTTGATTTTCACATAACCATTAGTGATATTTTTATTTATTTTGAATCTCTCGATCTCTATCCTAAAACTGCTTTTTAAGACTCTCTTTTGGTGATTATAAATTCTTTTGGAACTATTTGGTAGTTCTCCAGATCATGCCTTACCTCCTTCAGCAGGACAATTAATGTGCTTGTGTTTTTTTTCTTTAAATGCAGAGCAAGGTGGGGTAACAAAGAAAGTACTCTCAGCCTTAAAACGACCTTTAGATTTTGCAGGCAGAACAGTTACTTTGTACTTGCATGAAAATGACAGGTCCTTCAGAATAATGTAGTTTTCCTACAATGAGAAAAACAAAAAGATCACATGCTGCAAATAGAGCCCAAGGAAAAAAAAGAATGAACAAACTGAAAACTAACTTTGGCAAAAGATGAAAAGTTCTCTCCACAAAAATATTTTCCTGGATGCTTAACACATGCCAATGTGGTTTTAACTCAGAGAAGAAAGAAGTATTGTCAATGTCATGATTATTTTCAGTAGTAAAATATATTAGTATGGTATTTGAATATGTCCTTCAATTCTACACAGTTCCTTCGACACGCAGCATCAAAGCAACTGACTTCTAATATTTAGAACAGTCTCTGTGAATGATGGCAGTGGGGGTAGCAATGTGAGAATATAAATGCTAATCGAATTAAATAAATGTAAGAAAGCTGAGTTAAGCTGCTGTAAATGACAGGCTTCATCTATGTTTAACTTTTTAAAAGCACATTTAAAGTCAGCATAGCATTATGGATGCATATTTTTCCACTTGAGTACATTAAGTACTTCTATATTCTTATCGGGAAGAAAAACTCCACAGCTAAATACAAAGCAGAAGTCTCTAGTTAAGGACAATGAGTGGAGGAGAAAACTTTACACAAAGTGTAAGTGTCCTTCTAAATTCTTACCATTGTCTGAAGTACTTTTGAAAATTACAGTCTGAAAGCTTTAACACAAATCATATACGGAAAAAAATGTTTGGTTGGTTGGCTTTTATCCTGAAAAAATCTCTAATAATATGTTACTGGCTAAGGTCAAAAGTCATTTGCTACCTTTTAGATCTTTAATTCCCTTCAGAATCGCTAATTTCTCATGTTCTTCTGCATAACTCCCTCTTTTTTCTAATTGCAAATTAGTCTAACCTTCACTTGGAAGGTCATTTTCATGGGACACACCCATTGAGCTGAGAGTGGACTCCCTGCCTTCCACCTGCTGGGAGAGTGGCCCAACAGATTTGATGCCTCCTTAAAATTGTGACAGGACTATTTTCATTTATCAAGACAGACTGGATGAATTACCATAAAATGATTGGAAATAAGGAAAAAAAAGGAAATAAGTTCATTAATCCCACAATGCATTTGGACAGATGTCCAAACAATCTTTCCTGACCTCTAGTGGAAATGAACTTCTTAAATGTTTTTTCCTATCTCCATAACATAATGTCAAAATAATTTTTTTCAATTCACCTCTAATTTGGGCTTTGCTGACCCCATGAAGCAGTAAATCTTACAAGTTAACACCATCCTGTGTGAGAAATTATGTCTTTTGATTTACTCTTTCACATGATATTAAGTCTCCTGAATTGATGGGGTAGTACAGACCAGGGTAAGAAGGAAAGGTGAATTGTGATTTTGTCCATTTTTCATAACACACTAAATCAATTCTGATGCACCAATCACATTACTCTGTTGTTCAAATAATGTGTTATAGAGACAGATGACACTAGATTGCCAACAAATTCAGTAGGAAGTACTGCCACTGCAATATATATTTGGGCTGCCATGTACTTACATGGAGTTTTTCTCCCCATATGATATCTGTCCAACTTTCAGATTTAATATCTGGTATTTGTCACCTACAGTCCTTCTTTTCTTATCTATAATTCTCCTCAGGGAGAATGCTCACCTGAAACTCACCTGCATGTCTAAAAGAAAACCTGGTTTATTAATTACTATTATTACTGTTCAGTATTTGCACTGTGCTAAAGTCTTACATTATTAATTGCAGACAAAGCTCCATTTTCTATATCCTGTAGAGATATAGAAGTACTTAGTTAAGAAGTTTGTCTGGTCTCATTTTCTGAATAACAAAAACAAATAAAATATTTTAGCCTAGTGTGGATTTAGGAAATCCAAGAAACCCATAACCACTCCAGATACATAATTTTTATCTTTCGCCAAAAAGGAACATAGAAAAGAAAGCATCCTTACTGATCTATGAAACAGGGTAAAACACATATTGTGTTATTTTACAGAACCATCCTTTCTCTTACTGCCAGAGTCAAGCAGAGGGCTGAATGGAGACTTACATAAGTCAGCTCTGTTACTTTCCTAAGTCCTTTGGTGTCATTGTGTGCACAGGACTCCAGTAACCAGTGGACTTGGAATTGATTCATGCTGATATCTAAATGATATAAAAAGAGAGGAAAATACATATAAGTATGTTTTCACCAAAATACATTAAAGTATCTTTTCACCATTGCAACTCTTCTGGCTTCTCTGAATAAAAACAGAAGGAATTTTAAGTATTGTAGAGTTGGTAACTCCTCGCTAAGAACTCTTTAATATAATGAAGAAAATATTATACACCAATGAAATTTAAAACTTGTATCAGCTAAAGGAGATAAATAGTGAAATTTCATTTTCAGTTACATTACCATATACTGCCTACATGAAAAAAAAATAATTTAAACTGAGAACTAAAAAAAATAATCTCAATGCTGCTACTTCTAATCACCCTGCAAATAATGAGACAGACTTGGTGTCAACTGCCTGACTGTTTATATTGTTAGAGCATTGCAATACTGCTGCCTGGCACTGCTTGAGAAATCTGTGCCTGAAAATATGTGAAAATGCCTGTAAATCCCCATGCTTTCTTTTTTCAGGATATGCCATAAAACCTGTTCAGTATCTGTCCAAATAAAATTCTAGTCTTGACTCTTATGAGTAATACTGAAGGCTTAAATTTACTCCCATTTAAATCAATGACAAAACTTGCTGTAGTACCAACAGTATAAGCTTTCAACTTATTTCCAGCTCTTCTAGCTTTTCATCCAATAATGCCTGAATAAGGAAGCAAAACAAAGAGCAAAAAAGAATTGACAAAAGAAGGAAAACATTAGGTAGTTCAAGCAGTTCCTGACGTTTTTCTGGATTTCATTCTCTATAGAGGGGATGCAAAATTATGTCTGTTATTATTAATTAGCTTGGTATGACAAAGTCACTAATGTGCCTGACTGTGGGTTTCAGGAGGGAAAACAAATATCTCTGATGCCTTAAGGGCTGATCTGGTATGAGACTGCTATGAGCAGTTTGGATTCAGAAGAAAAGGATTGTAAACTAAAGAGAAAATTACTAGTGTAGGAAAGTAGCTGAAATGGCCCCTTGAAATAGATTTTTGCAGTAGCTGTTCTTCATAACAATATGTATGCTAATTATTTTTGCAATTTCTTTGGAAACAATATTTCTTTCAAAAAGAAATCTATTAAAAGTACATTTCCTGTTTTGTGATTATTCCCTCTCATATAAAATAAATAAAGAAATGGATGTGCTTTTGCATGTCTCTTCAAGTTTTCCCACTTGATGTGCCTATTGGATAAAGACAAAAACTCACAGTGTCAGTAGGTTTCATCTGACTTCATCTCTTCCAGTTGACTCCATTATAGAATATCACCTGCTCAATGATTCTTAAGATCTCTTCTGACCCAAACCATTCTATCATTCTCTGATTATTTTAAACTATCTTCATGGGTGGACTGCTCTTTGCAAAGCTACAAAATGTGCATTTTTGCTTGTGATATTTTCACTTGAAATCTATAAATAAATCACTCTCCTTTGGCTAAACATTTATCAAAGCCAATTAAATCTTGTAATTGTCCAGCACTCAGGGCCTGGATAAAACACATCCCTAAGGTAGGTCACAAAATACCACTACATGGGCAACTGGGAAAAGACAAATCCCAAGCATCAAGACCTTACAACAGCTCAGCATTCAGATATATTGGTGTAGAGGTTTACTAGGCCTCTGCTCAGAAATGTAATTCAAGGTAGAATCACAGAATCGTCAGAAGGTTTGGGTTGGAAGAGACTTTAAGGATCCTTCAGTTCCAACCCCGCTGCCATGGGCAGGGACACCTCCCACCAGACCTCCCACCAAACCAGATTGCTCAATGCCTTGTACAACCCAGCCCTGCACACTGCCTGGGGTGGGAAAAAATATTTATTTCCAGCCACTGGCACATTGGAATCCTCTTTGTATTTTCAGACAGGTCCACATCCATTAATTATGAGAGCTTCTACTCCCAGACAGTTCTTCTCTTCCTTCCTTCATTTCTGCATTAGCAAACCCTGAGTAACACATTTGTAAACACCTGTGGTTTCTGATAACTTCTCTACTTGAAGAAAATAGAAGTAGGTTAAAGAAGAATATAGAAAATAAGAAATACATTTTTAAAACCTATCAGCTTGTACTGTAAATGCAGGGTGAAGGTTTTCTTAATAATTTTCTTAGTTTTATTTGAGCTAATGAATCTTAATTTTTTTAGTATTCTGGTAGTCTGATAACAACATATACTGAAGGGGATTTTTTTTCTTTTCAGTGGGTATGTAAAGGTTATCTGAAGAAGGTTTTTGTATCACATCTGCAAGTACATCAAGTGCTATAAACTGGAAGGCATCACGACAGCCAGCAAGACTAAAACTGACACAGTTCTCACCTCTATACTTATGATTGCTGTTATCTAAAAAAATGGAAGATACACAGGTTAAATGCCATGTATTAAAAAGAGAAATGTGAAAATAATTCACAACAAAACCCCCCCAATTTTCTCCTTTTGAAAAATCTGTCCTGTCACTGTCTAAAGTCTGACTAATACAATGCAATGAAACAGAATAAAGTATGAAATACAGTAAGGAAGTAGCTTCTACTTGAGACAGAAACTTTTTTAAAATAGGGAAAGGTGGGACATTTTGTGATTAAATAAAGCTAGAAGCTGGAAAAACTCAAAATGTATAAGCATGCATGAAGCATACACATAAAATGACAAGATTGTCTAAGAAATTACCTTTAATATTTTTAAGAGCAAAAGGAGACAAAATGCATGAAATTATCTAAAAAGCCCAATAATAAGCTGAGAAAAATTATGAAAATATGCCTTTGTCTTTAAAGGTGCTCATAAAGATCATTACTCTAAAGTTTTATGAAACATTATACAGCTGATTTTGTGTTTACAAGACATGCAAGATAAAAGCTTCTCCCAGCCCTCCTTTCAGCAATGCACACTATCCCAGTGAGATCACTACTATAAATTTTATTTTGATTTTTGGGTTTAGCTGTCCAGTGCAAACTGAGGGATAGATAATGGATGAGCTCAAGCTGCATCCACCTGAATGTCAGCCACTGCCACCAGAGCCAAGGGTTCTGGATCAAGCTCAGCTAAGGTTCATACACTGAGCCCACAGCCACATCTTTTTCCAAAAAGCCATTTGAGTAGTTAATATGAACAGAATATTCATTACCTAATGGGACTGATTTTGGAGAGTTTTGTCAGAAAACTCAGCTATTCCTGTTATAACAAGTACAAAACACTGTCAAGAAATTGCCAGATTGCTTCACTCTGCTTCCCTGGTATTTCAGATGTCACAGTATCAATCTCCTTCTGAACAGCTGGAGTTTTCTTGATTCTAAATTTTCAATTATGAGTCTTTATAGAACATTTTTACTTCATTGTTCTCATGGTTAGAATGTCTATCATTTGATACTAGAAATAGTGATGCTTGCACAAAGAGCAAACATTTGTATTTCCCAGAACTCAAAATATTTGTATAGAAACACTGAACCTGAAGGACATAATAAGTACTAGCACTCATTTCAGCAGCTCTAAGATTGTGAAATTAGTCAACAAAATAGCCACTTAGCACAAACATCAGACTGCTTATTCAAATAATTATTTTAAATTTACATAAAGAGAAATTAAAAAAATAAAGGCAACCCAGGACAACTACTTTAAAAATCTCTCAGTGATACTGACATGGAAATTATCTCCATATGCCCAAAGTAAAGATTTTTAAGTCTGTAAGACAAATGCACACAACTAATCTTTTTTAAAAAAACTAACAGTTGATGTTAATTACTTTGACTGTGATTTTAAAGTAGATTTTCTGAAGTATAAATTGACTTTCTAGACTTAAGAAAAATGGCTGTACAGACATCACATGATCATGTTCTTAAAATCCCATGTACTCTTAGCTCTTTTGCTCAACAAGGGTATGCAGCTAACTTTGTTGGACAGAAATCTTACATCTCCAATTAGAAATGTATGGATCAGGGAAGGCTCTAAAGCATGGTTGTTATTTTTTTTTAAATTTACCCCAAACTGCCTTTATTTTCACATGAGTATCTCCACTAAGCTCTCTATCAATAGTGTTTAGACATATGTTCTTCATCACATTTTAGTGCTTTCTCCCCCTCCCCAATTTAAATGCTTTAGTTCAATTTTAATAAAAAACAAATAAATAACCTTCTGATTTTTCTGGATGGAAAATGTGCATTTATTCTATATCTTCAACCTGTAAAAACAGCCCAAAATTCTACTAACGCCAATGCCAACTACATGTGTTTGCCACTTGGAAAACTTCAGGTTCATATGCACAATTTAAGCATCTTAAACTGATAGACCTCAACATAGCCTAAGCCATGGCTGCACAAGAGTTACTAGAAGACTAAATCACCTCCCCACAGATTTAAGGCTCTGAGTGTCATTCAGAAAAATAATCCATCAGAATTTCAGGTAGTTCTGCAAGTTCTCCTAGACAGAACTTCTGGTTTAAATCGTTCTACAGTTTATTTGAAGCAAACTACATTTTAAAGGTTTTTTCTTTTCTTTTTCTCATATTTTTCAGCCTCTTCCATGTTGATGTTTCTGCCAGCTGTATGAATAATTTCATCTAATGTGGCTTCTTTTTTTTTTACCATGCTACTGCAAACAGCTTTCTCTGCCTCAAATACTTTTTTCTCCTTTATATTGCAGTTACTGTTCCAGGAGGGTGCCAAATTGACTCTCATAAGGAACTGAAGCTTTGCAGCTGAAAACCTGGCATAGCAGGGCATATCAGCAGTGAAATTTGCTCATGCAGCCCAACACCATCAATATGGAGCTACCCCAGAAAACCAGGTAAACAGAGGTGTTCATTTCTTTGTATCCTGTGATCCACAGCAAGAAAATTGCAGCAGACTGTTTCCGGAACTGGGGCTCTTTCTGCCACTGGTTTGCTTGAGGTCTTTAGGCTTCACTACTCTTCATTTCTTCACGACTCTTTATTCCACTTCACTACTCTTTATTTCTGTTCTACCCCTTTTAAGTGGTGAAAATGGTAACGGTGTGTGTTGTAAAAGTATCTCAGCTC